TCCAGGTCACCTTTAATTTTCATCAGAGGTAACATGAACGCGCAGCGTTATATCCACGAAGTTCTAGAATCATTATTCTCCATGCTGGCAGTGAAAATGGATTTATACCTAATGCCTTGCTGTTATCTGCCAAAAATATCAAAGAATCATGTGCCGACTATCATGAGGACATGACCTCCGACTTATTTGAAAAGTGGATAGAGCAGCAGTTAATACCAAACATTTCCCCAAATTCAGTGATTATTATGGACAATGCGCCACACCATTCCCGACAGAAAAACAAAATTCCGAATACAGGCACAAAAAAACAAGACATTATTGATTTTATGAAGGATAAGGGAATGGAAATACCACAAAAATCAACCAAAGCCATATTATTGGATATTATTAAAAGACAAAAATTTGAAAAAGAGTATGTTGTTGACAATCTGCTTCAGCAAAATGGCCATGAAGTATTACGTCTACCTCCCTATTACTGCATTTTTAACCCGATTGAGTTGGTCTGGGCTGCTTTAAAAAAAAAGTAAGAAAACATAATCAGACCCCTCAATTAAGTGAATCGCTATTGGCCACAATAAGAGATGCAGTATCTCATATTGCTGCCACAGACCTATGGAAGCAGTGTTCTAGGCATATTATTGAAAAGGAAAATGAATATTGTGTTTTGCCTCCTGTAAATCCCGTTGTAATTCCTCTACAAGATGACTCTAGCGACAGCTCCGAAGGCGAGGATGATATATAAATACCTATAATGTAAGTCTTTATATACCTTTTTATATACCTACCTGCTATGTAAATATTTGCCTATGTCAAACGTTGGAATTCTGTAATTTTTCCATTTCTTAACTTTCAGTCAACATAAATTAAACTCCCAATATAAGTATTTTTTATCCCAAATCAAAAAAATAAGAAGATAGTAAAATCCATTTATTGTGATATAAAAACATTATTATTATCGTTCTAAATAAATGACCGTACGCCTATGATACGTCATGAAATTACAAAGGACGCGCCGACCAAAGGTTTTTATGCTATTTCAAGTGACTTCAGATAAAGTATACTTCCATGAATGATAATCCAAAATAAATATCAGATGCTTTGAGTACATATTCCACTAAATGATTTTCAAGTTCAGGCTCAAATACTAAATGATTTTTGATGTATCCAACTGAAATTGACGGCGCAACAACTCGATCATCAAGTAATTCAGACTCTGGAATTTTCTTACAGTATCTTGCTAATGTGCGGTAACTTAGTCAGCTGCCGCTTTTCTTATTGAGGATCCTAATCTCACTAATCTAGCTGCTCTTAAAAGTACGTCAGGCGGCGCTTTGCCCTTCTCAGTCTTCCTTTTGAAATTTCGAACCATGCTTATGTAACCTGAAAATATTAAAAAAGTACATTATTTACATATACCTACGTAGAATGATGTGCAAAGCTAATCGTCTAGTGTGGGGGCTGGTTGTCCCATGTGACAAGAGGCCCCCGCTAATTTGAGACAACCTGCCCCACTAGATAATTAATTTTTAAGGTTAGATAGCGTCACTAAATTAAGAAATTCAAAGTCAATACTTACGTTAAGTCGTATTAGGATTATTGAAGAGCAAAATAAATTCAACAGTTCTTTTTATTATCGAATGTAGTCTTGAAAACACAAATTATGTGGCAAACGAAAAATTTACTCAGGTCAGGCGATTTGTTTATTTTTGTGTGTGCGACCTTAATCTACCAACGACAACTTTCGTACTGAATACAAGTGTTCTGCGCAGACGCAGAAACGATGTGTAGCGCGCCATGCAACTACACCTTGCGGAGCTGCTGAGATTTAACAATTGTGACAACCAACCCATGTGACAACCAGCCCCGTTCTCCCCTACTGTTGTAAGGTGGGATTGTTGTTATCGCATTTTATCATTCTGCCGTTTTAAACTAGTTTCAATGGAATGCCGTAGTTTTGATGTTGACAGATTCAAGTGTTAAGAATGCGCATTCATGTAGCCATATAACCTGTGTATCGAGAGTCTGCTATTGTATTTCTGTATTATCTCCTTGACTCTAACAATAATACAATTAATCAATACGGTCTCGCAAATAAATCTGTCGATACGTTTGGAAGGATTTATTTTTGCATGAATCACTTTCGCGATTATGCTATACGAACATTCAAGGGAATTCCGTGTTTCCGAACGATCACTGGCCATGACTGGCGTTTTGTTTTAAATTACTCATTCTTCAAGGATGAAGCACACCATACAAGATAATAAGGTTAAACCTGAGACTGCTCGGTTTTATAACTTCCTAACTTGTGTGGGATTCTACTACTAATCTTGCCTTCGCCAATGTAACTACATGTAGTTGTTTAGACTAGTTTTAAGCTTTGCATGCGACGAAAGAATTTGTTTTTATTACGATTTTCAAGGGTGTGGTTGTAAAAAATCGTCATTGTACGTAACACTTTTTAATTTCAAGTAGCACTTGTGAGAGAAGAATATTGATTCATACGTTTTTTCAACTTCAATTAAACCAAATGAATGCTTGGTGTTGCAAAAGATCGACTTATACAAATTAGTTTCTTTATCGTACAAAAAATAAGTTCATAAGTACTCGTAGCAAAAAGCTTCTAGATTGTTAAGATATTGGCTCCAAGGTTTGGTAAAAACAGATACTAAATAGAATTTAGATTTTGAAATATGAAACAATAATGTTATTTAAATAGGCTTAGGTTGAAAATATAATTATGTTATTAACTGGACAAACGGTTGTTTGGGATTATAACTTTGTTAATAACTAGGTATGTATCTATATAAATACAGTTTAAATATCCACGGTCCTATGCATACCATTTCAGGGTTGGATACACTGTATATATACTAAGTGACATATAAATCCGAACACCCAGTTTAAATGGTTTTATTTTAATAAAATTTTGTATAAGTATTTAATAAAGCATAATAAGTAAATGATAAAAATTTCAAAATGATGCACTGCTTTAATGCCCTTTGACCTTTAATAATGTGTGGATGCACCCTGATGTGCTACGCATTCTCCAACGCACCTAGGCATGCTTCTGATCAGGTGGTCAATGTCCTCCTGTGGTATTTCATTCCAGGCAACCACCAACTCCTCTCGAAGTGCTTCTAGAGTCTGAGGAGGACGTTGCAAATTGAGCAATCTCCTACCCATCATATCCCACACGTGCTCAATTGGGGATAAGTCGGTAGATCTTGGTGGCCATGGTAACAATGTGACATCATTATGTTGAAAGAAGTCTATTGTGACTCTTGCAACATGTGGTCGGGCATTATCTTGTTGGAAAGTTGGATCTGCCAGGGTGTCAAGATAGGGTAAAAGATCTGGTTCTAGAACTTCGTGGATATAACGCTGCGCGTTCATGTTACCTCTGATGAAGATTAAAGGTGATCTGGAACCATAAGCTATAGCACCCCAAACCATAACTCCAACAGTGTGATGAACATGTCTTTCAACAAAAAACTGTGGATTCCTCCTTTCACCACGTCGCTTTCTAACCCTGGCACGACTATCGTGCATGCCTAAACAAAATCGAGACTCGTCACTAAAGACAATACTGTTCCATTCCTGATCCCAGAGTGACCGTTGTCTGCACCACTCAAGGCGATTACGTCGGCGTTCTCGAGTTAAAGAGAGGACCCAGTGTGGCCGGTATGAAAACAAGCCAAAACTTCTCATTCGTCGGTAAACACTTCGCATGCCAATAGGTCTTCCGTGTTCTGCAAGCCATTCATTTGCAATGGACCTGGTAGTGGAGAAACGGTCCCTTAAGGCCAATAATCTTAGGCGGCGATCTTCACGGTCTGTTGTTCTACGGCGGCGTCCAGTGCCCCTTGCTCTTTGCGTACGGCCTTCTCGAAGCCATGCCTGACAACACCTAACCACAGTGTCTACACTTCTTTGCACTCTAACTGCAATTGTCTGAAAAGAAAGTCCAGCTTCCCGAAGTCCCACTATACGGCCCCTATCAAGCTCACTAAGTTGACGAAATCGTACAGGTCTCCGTACTCTAGGGATCGTAACCGATCGTAAAGGATGTCAAAAACCAAAATCCGCCAGCGTTGATTCTTTACTGCGGCTGAAATATTCATTTTTAGAGCGTTAGTGAATTAAAAAAAAGCAGTATAAAAACCGGAATGTCCAACTGATAAGGCTGAAAAATTTTTCACTTGTTATTTACAGTAAGATAAATACATTCACCAACTTTTATTAAAATAAAACCATTTGAACTGGGTGTTCGGATTTATATGTCGCTTAGTATATATGCATTATCTGTAATTTGTTTTTTCTAATAAAAGGCGGTTTATTATTATTGTATAACGGATTATGGAATCAAATAACTTTAGATGCTCACGAGGATAGATAGAATGAGACCATATTATATGGCACAAAACGAAATAATTTAAAGTTATATTGCTCAATTATAGAGAAATGCCGTCAATCCGCGTCCCTGCTTCTGCTCTCTGGGTTCACAGGCGTGCCGATCTTGGTAAGTGTCATGTGCCGCGTCTGACGCCTTGTGCGGTCAGGTATCGGGAAGAGGAAGCGTTGCCAGGTAGACTGAACAACCAGTAGGGCAGAGGGAAATAATTTCTATGGACTAATTGTATGGGCTTGTTTGACTGACTAGATCCATTTAACTTGTTCGTGGCACTTTTGTTAGCGGGTCCAGTTCGTGCTGTACATAATACTTTATGAACTGTGGAGAACTGTGGACGTTGCGTGAGAAGTTCAGACTCAACCTACTATAGTCAAATACCAGAATTGATGACAGTAACAGAAGTCATCGTACGCCACTGCTTTGACGCTGTACCTTTTGATTACAGCGACGTTAACCGATATTTCACAAAGAAGCGCCGCATTTTTGAAGGCCTCCGCGTAATAGCAGTGGCGTACGATCAGTTTCGCTACTGTCATCAATTTTGGTATTTTACTATAGATGCTATTTTTTTTATTTCATTCCATTTCAGCTCACACAATGACGATACGTCGCTACACACTCCCGCCTCTACTGCTACTATGCTTCACCGTAGTGACGCGAGTGGTGTGCAGTCCTGATGGGGCCCCAACGCGAGCCTGTGCCACGATGACCCCATTCCACGGGGGCGGCATCCCCCCTCAGCCGGGCCTGTCCCCTTACTCAGTGGTGGCGCGTAGGAGGGGTGGCAAGGTGCACGTATCTGTCGGATCTGCGCTTGGGGTGCCGATCGCGGGTATTATGATGCAGGTAAATTAGTTTTGTAGTGTGTAATGATGGATCAAAAATTAAATATCGATAAATAAGCCGATTTTGATAAAAAGCCTTATGTGAGTATATTTGATCATATAGGTCCAATATTCTGATTCCGTCTTTCTTAAAGTACAACTGTTAAAATACATTTAATAAGGGATACGTCGCTAAGACAACTTTTTCGACCTAACGAAAGCTTTTATTACTTATTTATTTCCCATGTTTTACTGGCGGAAAAAATGTCCAGATATGTTTTTGATAATAACAGTCTTCAACTTATATCTTCATACCTAGATGACAGATCACAGTATGTAGCACACTGGACAAAGAGAAGTCAAACGTTCAAACAGTTAGGTTAGGAGTACCCCAGGGTTCCATTTTGGGCCCACTTTGTTCATAATTTTTATTAATGACATCTTCAAAAACAATATTCAAAATCTAGTGCTATATACTGATGACACTACGTATACCTGCAGTGGAAGCAAACTTGAAGGCGTTAGTCGAGAAACTACAATGAACGTTAAGTACTTTGAAGACTGCTTCTATGCAACTTTAGGTATTTACCTTGACAGATGTCAGTTAAAGTTAAATTTGATTTATTTTACTCCACTTCTTGTTTCTTCGTGTGCTCAGTTGCAATCAAAGGTGTGTTAACAGAATTGCATTGGTTAACAACAACAGTATAAATGCAAAATATTAGAGGCATAATATTTTTTTTGATGCATTCTGAAAAGGGCTGACCAAAACCTCAACTTCGAGGCTTATCAACATGAATTTTGGATCTGAAATTTCTTAGAAAATTTGCGTTATAAATAGGAGTTTTACATATTCATCTTACTAAAAAAAATATGAGTATCTATTTGATTAAATTATTTATAATCCTTTCTAATGGATAAATATAGCGACTTTCACATTGTAACGAAAACAAGTATAATTTATTACTGCTAACACTTGCAGCTAATTTATATCCAATTTATAGCTATGTCGACTGGACTAATATCCCATCTTAATCCCGCATTCGCTGTCCACTGGCTCGACTGAGTCTCGACTGTGACTAACTACTTCGGTCATCTGGCAGGGTATTTATCCCCTATCGACGCGTCTAGAAATGTTTTAGCGTTTTCCATGTCAAGTTGTGAACTTCCATGAAAGTAGTCTGGATGACGTCCAGACATGCCTCGATTATTCTTGAACCCTTTTTTTAGACAGCGTCACAAGCGCTCACACTCGTTCGGGCATCGCGTGTCTTGAATGGTAGCTTTGATGTTCATTTTTTTTTAAGAATCACACGTTTGAATGGACTTTTGATTTTTAACTTGAAAAGTAAAGCTATAAGGAGCTTCCCACATAACAAAGTACTAATTTTAACGTCCGGTGTATTTCGTGGAAACTTGTTAGGCGTTGAGATCGTCATTTATGAACAATGGGAAAATCCACGGCAAAGTTCTCAAAGGCAACAAACAAAGAACAAAACGTATTAGTAAAAAGTATTAGTGAAAGTCCGACCGATAAAGATCTTGTCAATTCTGTTCAATGTTAATTTTGCTACTTTAACTACGGGTTCATGACGGCAATATATGCAAATAGTAAAGAAGGTACTCACAGTGCCAGCTTAATGATAAGTCCTTCGTCTTCGTTGATCTACTACTCGTTTTATGGCTTGTACGAGTATGAGACCGAAATCCATGGAATTATTATTCTTAAGTAGTCAGATTGTTGATTTTCACCCTAGTTTTAAAATAATAATAAGCTCAGACCCGTCGATTTTGTTTTCGAAGGGGACACAAGTTTGGCGAAAAATAATCACGATAAAGCGTGCAGCCCCCTGGGCGGGGGTGACACCAACCCTAAAATCTTAAATGGAAAGGGAGTCGAGTGATACCTTATTTTAAAGGTCTTTCAATTCCTTTTATAATGATATGAAATTAATGTAGTTTTATAGATTTATTGATTTAAAGCTTAAAGTAGACTTTAATTGGTAAATCAGATTAGTTTGTACTACTTTGTTTGTTTATCATTTTGTTGTTGAAAATAGCTATTGAAGCTGCCGGTAAATGGGCCTGTTTCGTTTTAGATGCGCCACCCTGTATATTCATACCAAACAAGATATGATGATCTTATTTTGATAAATATTTGTATGCTCTTTTGATGCTTGCTTTGAACTGGTTTTATGCCCCAACGAGCTCGTGCCAATGTTGTCAACTGTGAACTATGTCACATTTTACAGCTCTTTCTTATAACTTTGCTTGCAATCATTTTTTTACAGTTGATTTGTGTTCTTTTGGGGCGAAAAGGATGAACCAGGGCAGAACGCCTCAAATACAGATACTGCACCAGTTTCATCAAATATAAACACTACTGTAATTGGCCAGTTGTGTTTTTCAATATCATTCATTCTGCACGTTAGTTTCGTCATTCCTCTGTCGCATTTTGGGATTATATTGCTCAACAAAAATAACGACTTTTTTTAACGGAGAAATTGAGGACTCAAATTGAATACATTGTCTGAGATTTTAAGAACGACTGCGCAAAGCGCCATCTATCGCCAGAATCGAACACTGTGGAGAGCGCGTAGCTATTTTTTATCATAAGGATCATAAGGATCTCAGTTCGCGATAAATAGCCCAGTCACCATATGACTGTCAGATAACTGACGAGTCCGTCTGTATAATAATTATATGGGATTTTCGTTCGCCCAGATGCGTCCCATACAAAGTGAAATGCGCTTCGTCGCTGAACATGATTTTTGATGAAAAATTGGCATCAATTTGGCGGTGTTCAAGGAGGCAATCTGAGAACGTTCGGCGCGAAAAATGGTCGGCCCGACGCAGCTCTTGCGTCAATTGGATCTTGTAGGCGTGTACATTCAAATCCTTGTGGAGAATGCGGAGCAAACTGGTTCTCGAAATGCCCAATTCTTGGGATAGACGCGTTGTTGATTGTTTCGGATCGTCTCTCACACTCTCCTTCACAACAGCAATATTTTCCGGTGTGCGAACGCTCCTTGGCCGGCCAGAGCCTGGCAGATTTGCCACAGAACCTGTTGCCCCGAATTTACGCACCAGACGACCGATGGTTGTTTCGTTTGGGCGGTTGTCGCAATCGAAATGTTCACGAAGCGCGCGAAACGTGTTTTTTATTTTTGCACCATTTTTGTAGTGCTCTTGAATAACTTTAATGCGGTCTTCAATCGAATACGATCAACGGTAAACATTCAACTAACAAAATGACATGTCGGTGACAGAAAATAAAGATGGCGTCTATGTCAAATTTTACGTTTACTTTCCTGCGTCCCTATTGGACAACCCTATAGTTTGGTTGAGGTTTTAAGTCTTTTTTCTTCTTCAAGGCTAGAACACCAGCTGGAGAGGTGCTAGGTGCATTCGAGGCAGTTGATCCTGATCATGCGCACACCATAAACTGTGTCCAGCGAAGCGACACAGTGACACACAACAGTCCCGAGGAGAAAGATCACATAGACGTCGACTGGACACCTCCCAGGGGATACGAAGGGCCTGTGGTCTTCAAGTAAGCATTACTTGTTGAAAAACCGAAAAATGCCTTTTCTCCATACTAGCATTTTGAAAACGATGGTCTATAGCCAAGGCTACGAGTATATTTACTTATACTAAGTGGCATATAAATCCGAACACCCAGTTTAAATGGTTTTATTTTAATAAAATTTTGTATAAGTACTTAATGAAGCATAATAAGTAAATGATAAAAATTTCAAAATGATTGCACTACTTTAAAGCCCTTTGACCTTTAATAATGTGTGGATGCACCCTGATGTGCTACGCATTCTCCAACGTGCCTAGGCATGCTTCTGATCAGGTGGTCAATGTCCTCCTGTGGTATCTCATTCCAGGCAACCACCAACTCCTCTCGAAGTGCTTCTAGCGTCTGAGGAGAACGTTGCAAATTGAGCAATCTCCTACCCATCATATCCCACACGTGCTCAATTGGGGATAAGTCGGGAGATCTTGGTGGCCATGGTAACAATGTGACATCATTATTGTGACTCTTGCAACATGTGGTCGGGCATTATCTTGTTGGAAAGTTGGATCTGCCAGTGTGTCAAGATAGGGTAAAAGATGGGGTTCTAGAACTTCGTGGATATAACGCTGCGCGTTCATGTTACCTCTGATGAAGATTAAAGGTGACCTGGAACCATAAGCTATAGCACCCCAAACCATAACTCCAACAGTGTGATGAACATATCTTTCAACAAAAAACTGTGGATTCCTCCTTTCACCACGACGCCTTCTAACCCTGGCACGACCATCGTGCATGAGTAAACAAAATCGAGACTCGTCACTAAAGACAATACTGTTCCATTCCTGATCCCAGAGTGACCGTTGTCTGCACCACTCAAGGCGATTACGTCGGTGTAAGGGTTAGAAGGCGACGTGGTGAAAGGAGGAATCCATAGTTTTTTGTTGAAAGACATGTTCATCACACTGTTGGAGTTATGGTTTGGGGTGCTATAGCTTATGGTTCCAGGTGACCTTTAATCTTCATCAGAGGTAACATGAACGCGCAGCGTTATATCCACGAAATTCTAGAACCCCATCTTTTACCCTATCTTGACACCTGGGCAGATCCAACTTTCCAACAAGATAATGCTCGACCACATGTTGCAAGAGTCACAATAGACTTCTTTCAACATAATGATGTCACATTGTTACCATGGCCACCAAGATCTCCCGACCTATCCCCAATTGAGCACGTGTGGGATATGATGGGTAGGAGATTGCTCAATTTGCAACGTCCTCCTCAGACTCTAGAAACACTTCGAGAGGAGTTGGTGATTGCCTTAAATGAGATACCACAGGAGGACATTGACCACCTGATCAGAAGCATGCCTAGGCGCGTTGGAGAATGCGTAGCACATCAAGGTGCATACACACATTATTAAAGGTCAAAGGGCTTTAAAGCAGTGCAATCATTTTGAAATTTTTATCATTTACTTATTATGCTTCATTAAGTACTTATACAAAATTTTATTAAAATAAAACCATTTAAACTGGGTGTTCGGATTTATATGTCACTTAGTATATTTTACTTCTCTTCTTCCAGTGCCACCATAGCCCAAGCTTACGACACGTTCTGGGTGGGTCAGTCCTCCCCTGTGTTACAATACACCTCCAACGGGCAAGATGACCTCCTTCCAGATCGACCTTTTAGACCTCCTTCTCTACAACCTACGACTTACACGCCCTTCTTCAACCGCGTTCAACAGCAAACTGCCTTCACGGAGTTCGATTCCTTCTATAATGGCTGTGGCAGCACCAAGCTGTGCTTTGGGTTTCCGGAGGGATGCGTCCAGTCCAAGGGATGCACTGCTGCTGTAGCTGTCACTGTCATAGGTCAGTTGAGGCTGTGTTTATTTTTTTTATAAGTATTGGTATGGTATCTAACTTAGGAAGATGCTAAGAAAGATGCTGATGTTTTGCTTCTCACGCCTATTAGCGGACGAAGTATCGCAAACATTTAGGAAATAAAATATTTTTAGGTGTTATGTGACGTGTATATTAAAAAGGATCATGACCATTTTTTGAAAAAAATTCAGGAGTAGTTATGTGTTCCAAATTCGTTTTTCTATACAGGGCTTTTGGCTCCTGTTATACCTACCGCAAATGTTAAATGGGGGAAGTGTTAGAGGAAACTTAGTGTATCCGATAGCCGGATTTGTAAATATCGGCGAAAAACGAAAAATGTCGAATTTTGTTTTTTGCCAGTAAATCCGAAACGGTTAATTTGTCAGCTGTCAAAATGTGACATTATTCGGATATTTTTTCAAGGCAAATAAGATAGCGTGTATGACATGTCACAATCGTCTTTTGTTTTCCCGCAAAGGACCTCAACTTTCATTTTTCTTGTGGCCATCATATTGGATTTTTCGATTTTTGAAAAGGGCGTAAAATTTCCAGCCTATTATGTATGTATCCAAGAAAGAGACTACACTGATCTATTTCAAGAGAGAGTGAGCATAACTGTTATTGGGCAGAATAGGTCGAGCCCTTACACAAAACCAATGACAAACCAGAGGATGGAGTGGGAGACGATACAGTGTGCTTATTAGATTTGCCAGATTAATTTCGTAGAACTCAAAATGTTTGATACGGATACAGCTAATGAAGTTGTTAACATAAGCTGCACACCGACTAAAAAAGGTGCTAAAGGGCTTCATTTTAGCATTAGCGTAACACAAATAATTATCAACATTTATAAATACGAAATGCAAGGAAGGAGTGACTCAAGTGTTCAGGACAATGTTTGCCAAGCTGATACCTACATATTTTTCAATACTTTTCAACTAAAACATAAATATAACCTGAACATAATTGATGAAATGGGCAAAAAACAAAATAAAACTGTTTTACGACTGCCTCCTTACCATTGTGAGCTCAATCCGATTGAGCTCATTTGGGCAGACATAAAAAAATATGTTGCAGCAGAAAATAATTGTTTTAAATTTTCTGACCTTAAAAATATTTTTCATGATGCTATACAAAGAATAACAGCGAATAAGTGAGAAAATGTATCAGCATGTTAAAGAAAAGGTCGAACCTAAAATGTGGGAATCAGACGTTATCGTTGATACTCACGTTGACCCTTCATTCATAAATCTTGATGACAGTGGGAGTTTCACGGCTTCATATCTAGAATGATTTTCAGTTTGAAATATACGTATTTCCGGTTTTACAGGTAAAATGTCTGCGCAATAAATTTTTGTATAATATTTAGTATATATTTCAACTCCACCTTTATATTCATTTTTAAGTCCAATATTTAAATTAACTGTTTGCACTCTGACATCCCTGTTCAAGCGGTGGTTAGGTATACTCGTATGCATATGCAATTATCGTTTTAATGTGTCAAGACGTTTTTTAAAAGCCTGCTTTATAAATGCGCCTTACCACACGTTTCGAGTATAATTTCTTGATAAAACACTTCTACTATACTACAACTATTTAAAACTGTAATGACTCATACGCGTGATCAACACGTGATCAGAGCTCGATCCCGGCTTCCTTCCAGTACAGCCGTATAGTGTACGACATATGTCGTTTCTGTGGCTTTGCGGTGGTCAACAGCACAGACAGAGATGGAAATAATGGCTGATTGTTCTCCGCCGGTAGAACCAATGAAATCAAAGACGCGCCTCGACCGGCAGACTAATAGGCGTCGGCAACGCATTGGAACGTGTTTCGTTGAGCGATCGCATATTGTGTGTTTCTATAAGAATTGTTGTGTGATTGTTATTGTTGTGGTTTCTGTGGTTACTGTTTTGGTTATACTTAACCATGGAGAGTACAAATGGCACGAGTGGAAGTACTGAAAGCCAGGGAACAAGTAGACGGCTTCGTAAAGCACTGAAGAGGGACGCGAAAGAAATCGTGCTCAACGTGTTCAATTATCTGAACAGAACTATGTCGCAGGGAGATGCACTCGCGCGTTGTGAAAGTATGACAGGCGTTCCAGAGTGGACCATTCGCAGGGTGGTGCATGAAAAGAAGAAAACTGGAGCTGCTACTGATCCACAGTTTAATTTGAAGGGACGAAAGGCCGTTAAATTGGATGACGATAGCAAAATGGCGTTAAGGCGAACCGTACATTCATTCTTCTTTAGGAATGAGATACCAACCCTCAAGGCTGTACATGCAGCGATCAAGGAAAATGAAATTATACCCCAAATGAGCGTCGAGGTAATGAGGAAATCCCTGCACGAAATTAATTTTCGTTACGAAATGCGTAATCGGAAGTCAGTATTGATAGAGAGACCTGAAATAGTCGCCTGGCGTCGAAAATACCTACGCGAAATGATTGAATATAGGCGACAAAGCAGAAAAATCTATTATTTGGACGAAACATGGGTAAATGCAGGTCACACAGTTAAAAAAACCTGGATGGACAAAAACGTAGTGAGTAACCGACAAGCAAGCATTGAAGGTTTGTCAACAGGTCTTCGTGGACCGTCAGGGAAAGGTCAAAGATTGATCGTAACTCATATTGGTAGCGATAGTGGCTTTTTAGAAGAGTGTGACTTGATTTTCGTCTCTAAGAAAGGAGGTGATTACCATGACGAAATGAATGCCAGCTGCTTCGAAAGCTGGTTTCAAGGGGTGCTTCAGCGAGTTGAGCCCAACTCTGTGATCGTCATGGATAATGCTTCCTACCATAGTCGTCGAGCCGAACGTGTACCGACTATGGGATCTCGAAAAAGTGACATGCAGCAATGGTTGCGCGAAAAAGGAATCCCGTTTGACGATTCATGTGTGAAAGCGGAAGAGTATGAAAAAATTAAACAGCACAAACCAGCGAACATTAGTTACGTGACTGATGAGATGGCCCGTCAATGTGGTGTCACTGTGCTGCGGTTACCGCCCTACCACTGTGAACTAAACCCAATAGAGCTCATCTGGGTTCAAGTGAAGGGTTATATTGCGCGCCATAACACAACCTTCAAATTACCAGACGTTAAGGTTTTACTTGAGACTTCCATACAGCTAGTAACGCCCGAAGCTTGGCAGAATGCTATCCGTCATGTTGCGAAGGAAGAAACAAAAATGTGGCAGCTTGACCACCACATCGACACCATCATAGAGCCAGTTATAGTCAATTTCAACGAGGAAGGCGATAGCGACAGTTTATTACTGTCAGATGTAAGTGGAAGCGACGATGGATAAAGGTAATTCCCAAATTTTTGACTTACAATATGTTTCAAACCACTCGTTATTAAACATGTGACAAATCTAGTTCACCCATGTTAAACATTCATACCAGGTCTATGAACAGCCGACTACTGGTAGTTAAGTGATGTTCACGTGAACATCGATGAGTCATTACAGTTTTAGATAGTTATAGTATAAAAACAACAATACACAGTTGTTTTCTTTTTGCATAAAAGTTAAATTAAAAAAATACTTTAATTCCAAGCTTTACGTTTGGACCCTATACATGCCTGCAATAATTTTGCATACTTTTTGATCGTGTCGGAGAACCACAAATCATTTATTCTTAGTACGGCTCTGTAACGTGATCGGCGTTCTGGAGCGCGATCACATGGAGTATACGTGTATGTTTAGGTTTGGTCTCTTTCTTCGATTGAGACATAATACTGATGTCTCACAAATGCATAAAAGATTGGGGTATCATCGAAAAATTATCACACGTAATATTATGTATTAATTTATCGGAAAATAAGATTAATGAATATGGCATAAGACACTCATAAACGCCTTGAATTTTCAATAGAATATTAACGTTAATATCGACTTCTCTGCGAGTCAAATGTTTTGTTGCAAATTCCCAACTATGAGTATGTCAAAAAAACAAGTCAGAAAAATCTTCGTATATTTATTTTACGCTTGAACAAACAAACATTTCACAAATTTGTAATGTAATGTAAAATCTAATTATGCAAATTGGGTATCAATTTACAGATTTGCAAAATAACGTCCATTTGCATCCAGACATTTTGACAATTGATACTCCAATCTTTTATGCACTTGTGAGACATCACTAGACTGGAAATTTTACGCCCTTTCCAAAAATCAAAAAAACCAATATGGCGGCCATGAGAAATAGTTGAGGCGGGTTGCTGGAAAACAAAAGACGATGTCATACATGCTATCTTATTTTTCTTAAAAAATTGTCCGAATGATGTCACATTTTGATAGCTGTATTTGGGGTACTTTATATTTGACAATAAACCTAAATTTACATGTAAATTCTTTGAAATTTTGAAATAGTTTTTAAAATTTCCAATTTGTTTTCCAAAATTTTTAGATCTTCAAATTATTTCCCAATTGTCAAATTTTCCAAATTGTCAAATCCAATTATTTTCAAAATTTCAAAATTAATTTTTTTCCCAATTTCAAAAAGCGTATTAAAATTATGGTATAGTGGTCGTTGGGTCCATACGGACATCTTCGTGTTCACATTTCTTTTTATCACTTTGTAGGAGACAGATATGACTACGAGCTGAAGGTAGATAGAAGTGACGCAATCTGGGTAGCAGTAGCCCTGTCTGAAGATACGAAAATGGGTGACGATTCTGTCATGTCGTGTGTCAAGACGAACAGAGGAGTGGACGCGTACATGGAATGGACATATCCTGGTTACAGGGTTGAAAGAATTAGAAATGTAAGACAAAAATATTTCCTTACACGCTCTTGAACTTGATACGAAACTAGACATTGCAAATCTACAAGTCAACATCAATAACTATTCTTGTAATTACAAGTGGAAAAAATGAGAATCTATTACGTGTAAAGCAATTCTGATAAAAACTTGTCGCAGCATATTTTGGATATGTTTTGTGATTTAAGACCGTACTGTGTTGATGACGTCACAGGCATATATACATATGGGATGTTATACAAGAGATTTCTAAAATATTGGTCATTATACAGGGTGTCCCAATTTCGACCTACATATCAATGTTGTGATTTATCAAATGGAATGCCTCAAATTTTATTGCATATTTAGATAAGAATGACGAAGCATTTGAAATTCTCGAGAACAAGTTTTGATACAAAATTCAGCACTCCCAATTTCATAATAGGGGATTGAGGGGTTGCCGAAGTGGACGGTTTTTCTGAAAAAAAAACACCTTACATCTCAGTAGCTAATTACCAAAACCCGATAGTATGTTATATCAATCTTCTTCTTTTGAACTAGTTTATCCAAATATGCAATAAAATTTGAGGCATTCTATTTAAAAAATCACAACTTTGATATGTAGGTCAAAATTGGCACACCCTGTATAATTGCCAATATTTTAGAAATGTGCTCTCATGTATAACATGTCATAAGTAGATTTTCCCAAAATGTATTTGTTTATGAGTAATATTCCGTCCACATATGGATGGACCACCCTGTATATCGTGACTATGAGGTAGGTGCACAATGAAAAATGGCAGCAAAACGTAAGATGCAAATTTTCAACAAAATCTTAGGAAACAATTACATCCTTTTTGACTCGGTTTCTGATAAATTTAAAAAGGAGGACAAAACAGAAATCTTCACGAGAGATATACAGGGTGTCCGCAAAGTTGGGGTTTTCCTTTACACGACGTGTAGATCTTGAAAACATAAGCAATTTTTCTTAGTACCATATACACCAATGTCTTAAGGGAACCGAGATAAAGGGCTCTGCAACATCAAAAATATCTGAATACCGTCCTGTAGCCGCGACTCGCGACATCCCCGACTGGTACTAGGACACTAGCTCAACCCGACGACAGAACTGGGTCGGGGTCAGTGTGTCAGGTCAGTATGCAACTTTCAATCGACGGTTACGGTCACGCGTGTAGAGGTAAACGAACCCGTATAATCGATTGCGTTTCAAAAAACAACAAGCACTAGAGATGTGGCTAGAGAAGTGCAAGTATCAAAAACTAAAGTGTGGCAAACGTTGCGTGAAGAGGGGCTGTATCCGTTTCACGTCCAACGTGTACAAGCCCTTCAACCTGACGATTTTCCAGCAAGAGTGCGGTTTTGTGAGTGGTTGTTGCATCAACATGACAATAATCCGGACTTTTTGAAGTGCATATTGGTGCCAGACGAATCTACGTTCACGCGTAATGGGGTGATTAACTTTCGCAACACTCATGTTTGGTCAGTAGAAAATCCGCACGCTGTCCGTCGGGCACATTTTCAACAAACATTTTCGGTGAATGTTTGGCCTGGCATGGTGAACGGTATGCTCATTGGACCATTTATTCTCCCAAATCGATTGGACGGGATGCAATACCTAGACTTTTTACGCAACATTTTGTTGTTAGAAGATGTGCCATTAAGTGTAAGACAATCAATGTGGTTTCTGCACGATGGTCATATTTGTTACCTCTGTTCGTGGTCTGCACCACCGCCGGCGTCTGCTCGGTAGCGCATCAGCTGATTTCATTTTCTGTTGGAGGGGTATGATTTCGGGCAGAGGCGTACTTAGCCCTTCTCGTCAACTGGAGAGAATACTTTTTCCTTTATTTTTTTTTACTTGGTCGCCCTCGTTTCACTACACATTACCTTTGTTATTTCAAGGGTAGTTGTTTCTGAAAAGGAAAACCCCAACTTTGCGGACACCCTGTATATTCATTACCAACAGATATAAGTAAAACATTAACCAAAATTGTTGGAAATTCTGTAACTCGAACAAGTGACTGGCGCCGCACATATGGTCCTGATCTACAGAAGTAACTTTATATGTGTTCGGAATTTTTTTATTTAAATATTATGCTTGAATGATCGATGGCAGCCAGTACGAGAAAGATGTTTTTCCACAGGCCCAACACCAGATTGAATTGTTGAACTCCAGCGTTATCAATGGACAAATCTACTGCAGAATCAGGAGAAATGCTGTCACTGTTGTCAATGGCAAAACGTTTGATCAACTGCGAGATACATACAATTTACTCGTAGCAGCTGGTACTGATTTAAAACGTAAGTACTATCAAAAAACTTCTTCTGACTTCTGACTGCTGTTGAATCGTTCTGTCTCTTTCTTCCTTTTAGACGTTAACGTTGTTGTACTTCTACATGCTCTCTATTTTAGTGCATTCGTTGATCTAATTTCGTCAACAGTTGTTTGGGAATTTAATTAACATTAATATCTGTTTAGCAAACTCGGTGGGATACCATACGATCGGCAAAGCAGCATCAGCAGAAAAACGGAGTCTTGCAGATGTCTCCGCGGTATCTGGAGCGTCCAAGATTCTGGTTAGGTTGCATGGTTCGTTCATGTTGGCAGCCTGGATTGGTACTGCTAGCATCGGAATCCTCCTGGCTAGGTACTACAGGCAGACCTGGGTTGGCACGACTATGATGGGGAAGGATCTGTGGTTTGCGGTATGTGAAATATCAATGCTACAGATAAAGTTAAAATGGCTTGAAGAGCATATTTCTGAAAAAATATTTCTACACGTTAAAACTACAGCCTTTCGAGAAAAAAAAAACGTTTTTGAGACCAAATGTCTTGACCAGTGTTGCCAGAGCGATGTTTAAAATATCCGTCACACGTATCGCAAAATTCCGCTACATGCCGCTACGGTCTAAAAATTTAAGGGGGGGGGGGGAGGCTTAAAATAAACAACACATATATTTTTTACATATTTACTTTTTTTTAAAAACTGTCTAAAAACCCTACTAAAAATACAAACAGTAACATAATATAATTGCAATTTTTCGTAAAAACATAAAAAGTATACCTCTAAAAAAAACAAAACTGTCTTTGGTTTAGAATTAGGAACTAATAAAAAAATAGAAACTATCACCAATATCTTAATCTTAATAGAAAAAAAAACAAAAAATAAGGACAAAGAAGAAGCGGAAACGTGGAAATGCCTACGTTTGCTTATTTTATTCACAGTCAGAATCAGAAATTACTTCTTCTTCAGCTTGTTCTTCCTTATTTACATTATATAAATTCTTTTTATATTTGTTTAAATGATTCTCATTAAAACTATAGGATAAACAGCACTGTTTCTTTTTATTCCAAGTCTAATTTAATTGTAAGTAGTGCAGACAAAGTTGATGGTATTATTTTTTTCTTTTTTTTGTTTTGTAATCAAGCATATAAGAAAAAGTTCGCTCAACATCAGCGTTTCCATGGGGCAATGTTAAAATGATTAGAGCCAGTTAACCTATATTGCGAAATAAATATTCGTCATTAAAATTTTTGAGGTCGTTTACAAACGACCAAAATTCAATGACATTACTTTTTGTTTTTAAAATTCCCTCTTTCTCACTATCACTAAAATAAATACATATTTTCTTTAGTTCCAAAATTGCCTTTTCGGTTTCAATATGAAGGGCAAATTTTTTTAAAACGGCGTCATGAAAGGTATCACTTATAATAAGACGATTGTTCATCACATCAACCGGTGAGAGAAACTTTAGCTCTGAAAAGAAGTTGTCTTAGATAGGAAATCTTTTAAGGAACTCTTCTACCGATTTTTGGTAAAATGTGACACATTTTAATTTAAATTGTTCGATTGCCGTGTTATTGCAGTGTTTTATTGCATCCATTGTATGCGGACCAACATTCACTTGTTCAATTGGTAATAAGCAGTGGGGATCATTAGGATTTAGATTATATAATTTCTCATTTTTAAAATATTCTGGTCGCATAAAGTTTGTACATAGATGACGTACAAATCGCTCACTCTATTGATATGATATTGAGCATAACTTTCTCTGACTGAAAGAGAGCATTAAATTGGTTAAAAATTGGCAACACTAATTTAAAAAACATTAAATACGCCTTAACAAATGGATTCTGTAACTCATTAAGTATTACATTTGCTACAGGATTTTTGTCTTCAATGGAAGCTAATCTAAATAGGCTAAGCAAGATGTCCCACTGATCCAAAACTCTATCAACACATTTGGATAAAGCAAGCCACCTTGTTTTACTAGGACTTAAAATTTTTAATTTTGACTTTTTGAAATATTCCTGTAATGCTTCAAGAACACACCGCCTTTTTGGGCTTCTTGAGAAGGAAGAATATAAGTTTTGTAAAAGAGCTTCAACGTTGCTTGGAATCTTTTCAGCTGCCGCCACCGCCACTAAATGAGCAGAGTCGCAAATGCAGCCATTGACAATTATATTAGGATTATCTTTTAAAAGATAAGTTTTGAAAGATTCATTATTGCCCATCATAACACTAGCGTTGTCGGAACAGTATCCAACAATATTGGTAATTTTTACTCGATTGGATATAACGCATTTTTTAAAAAGAGAATATAAACCTTTGGCGGTACCTTCAACTGCGTTTATTTTAATTATATCTAATAAATGGGTTTTAATTGAATTTTTATGAATATACCTTACAAGAATGCATAGTAGTCTTGTATTGCTCAGGTCTGTACTCTCACCCAATAAAATAGAAAATGGTTTATTTTCCAATTCTGAAATTATTTCGTCTTTAATAACAGGAGCCAGCACATTTTTAATTATACTTATGCATTTGGATCTTTTTAATTTAAGTGAGCTAGAGAGATCTGGGTCTTTAAAACATAATTGACTAACTCCTGTTATATGATCAACAGTTCTAAAACTTATATAATGACTTACAACTAAAAGACTATATCTTAAGCAAGCAAATATTTGCCGTTTTTCCAACTCACGTGCTCCCCGAGACTGAAAAGTGCTATACAACGTTCTTACATTCGAAATTGCTTGCACATTAGTGGCATGCCTTTTTGATTTCGAATGATTCACTAAATCTGATTTTTTAGCACCCATTATTTTGCTTTCAACTTGTCATTTTCAATAGGTCCCAACCAGCCTTTAAAGAACGGATCTTCTAGCCATGATGAAGTAAGCATTTGTTTTCGTGTCTTTTTCTTAACAGGTTGCTCTGGCTCTTGGTTATCCTGAGATTCTCAAGTCGAATTATCAGGCTCAGACCTGATTCCACTAGATTCCGCTCTTCTATTTTGTCTGTATTCAGGTCCGACACAGATGCAGTCGAAGTTGATGGTACGGCCGCGTTTGGTTTCACCGTTTGTTTTTTAGAAGGATTTTTATCAAAAAAATCGTTAATGGTCTGCTGTCGCCTTTCCATTATTCCTATTTTCCAGAAGAAAAAACGTTAAAAACGAATTTCGCGACTAAGATTTATTTCTGGATCAAACTATAATATGTTAGATATTTAAGCAGTTTTGTTACTTACCAGTAGATTTAGTATTAAAATCTGCAGCAAATGATATATCAATAAAATGATCAACACAAAAATAAAAACACTAATATAAACGAAACTAAACAGTATATACCCAGAGCTGAAAAATACAATACAAAGCGAGAAACCTAATATTAAGTCTGCCTGCTGAGACCTGTTAGAAACGATTAGTATTCAAAGCAGTACGTACGCCAACTGTTATTGAAAAAAAAGGCAAGTGGAATAATTCTCTTCTCTGTTCCTAGATGGCTCAAGCGGCACCAAATGCACCAATTTTATTATTAATGTGATAATAAATCAGACTCTAGCCACTGCCTATTTAGGATTTGGAACATTATTAACGTTAAAACAGTGAAATAAATATGATAGTTTTGTATGTAATAAATTCCGCTACATTTTGGGCTAATTTGCTCTACCGCCGCTACGCCGCTCTTCTCAAAATAATCCGCTACAAATAGCGGAATTCCGCTACGTATGGCAACACTGGTCTTGACTAATAGATTATAAAAGAAATACTGATAAAAAGTGTCTTCAATTTTTTTTTAGTGGCACCGAGTGTTGATGGTTCTAACCTGGCTGTTAACCATGGCAGCTTTCGTGCTGATTTTCGTGGAACTAAAAGCATGGTCTGCAGAAAGGAATCCGCATGCTATCTTAGGAACGATAACGACAATACTCTGCTTTTTCCAACCGATAGGAGCATATTTTAGACCACATCCAGGGACAAGTAAAAGACCCATATTCAATTGGGCTCATTGGTTTGCCGGTAATGCTGCCCATATCGTAGGAAGTGAGTATTTTTGATGAATTATTGTTGTAAATAGTGGTATTGATGTAAATAGCGAAGATATACTAAGTGACATATAAATCCGAACACCCAGTTTAAATGGTTTTATTTTAATAAAAGTTGGTGAATGTATTTATCTTACTGTAAATAACAAGTAAAAAAATTTTCAGCCTTATCAGTTGGACATTCCGGTTTTTATACTGCTTTTTTTTAATTCACTAACGCTCTAAAAATGAATATTTCAGCCGCAGTAAAGAATCAACGTTGGCTGTTTTTGGTTCTTGACATCCTTTACGATCGGTTACGATGCCTAGAGTACGGAGACCTGTACGATTTCGTCAACTTAGTGAGTTTGATAGGGGCCGTATAGTGGGACTTCGGGAAGCTGGACTTTCTTTTCGGGCAATTGCAGTTAGAGTGCAAAGAAGTGTAGACACTGTGGTTAGGTGTTGTCAGGCATGGCTTCGAGAAGGCCGTACGCAAAGAGTAAGGGGCACTGGACGCCGCCGTAGAACAACAGACCGTGAAGATAGCCGCCTAAGATTATTGGCCTTAAGGGACCGTTTCTCCACTACCAGGTCCGTTGCAAATAAATGGTTTGCAGAACACGGAAGACCTATTGGCATGTTAAGTGTTTACCGACGAATGAGAAGTTTTGGCTTGTTTTCATACCGGCCACACTGGGTCCTTCCTTTAACTCGAGAACACCGACGTAATCGCCTTGAGTGGTGCAGACAACGGTCACTCTGTGATCAGGAATGGAACAGTATTGTCTTTAGTGACGAGTCTCGATTTTGTTTAGGCATGCACGATGGTCGTGCCAGGGTTAGAAGGCGACGTGGTGAAAGGAGGAATCCACAGTTTTTTGTTGAACGACATGTTCATTACACTGTTGGAGTTATGGTTTGGGGTGCTATAGCTTATGGTTCCAGGTCACCTTTAATCTTCATCAGAGGTAACATGAACGCGCAGCGTTATATCCACGAAGTTCTAGAACCCCATCTTTTACCCTATCATGACACCCTGGCAGATCCAACTTTCCAACAAGATAATGCCCGACCACATGTTGCAAGAGTCACAATAGACTTCTTTCAACATAATGATGTCACATTGTTACTATGGCCACCAAGATCTCCCGACTTATCCCCAATTGAGCACGTGTGGGATATGATGGGTAGGAGATTGCTCAATTTGCAACGTCCTCCTCAGACTCTAGAAGCACTTCGAGAGGAGTTGGTGGTTGCCTGGAATGAGATACCACAGGAGGACATTGACCACCTGATCAGAAGCATGCCTAGGCGCGTTGGAGAATGCGTAGCACATCAGGGTGCATCCACTCATTATTAAAGGTCAAAGGGCTTTAAAGCAGTGCAATCATTTTGGAATTTTTATCATTTACTTATTATGCTTCATTAAGTACTTATACAAAATTTTATTAATAAAAAACCATTTAAACTGGGTGTTCGGATTTATATGTCACTTAGTATATAACTGTAGATGAATGAAGAATGAAAATTTGACTAGATCTAACTGAAATTCAAATTCGCCTATGTTTCTGAAAATGTGGCTAAACATATAAGAATGGTCTATAAAAACTTAATTCTAGGGACAAAACAACAGCAAAATAAGACATATGACAATCAAGCAGATTTTTCCTAATTAAAACATTAAAAACGTCTACAAGAGAAAAACTATACTGATCTATTAGAAACCTCAAATTTTGATGTAAAACTTCGCGTTTGTGACTTTAGCTTGGCTGAAAGATTATTGAACATTTCTAAACCCGGATAATTTAGTGCGATTTGACTGAATTTATAATTACAAATCAACTGATGGACAGTTGCTCTACAACATGGAACATTTTATCCATTTTCAAATCTCGATATTTTCGGAATGGAATGAGATATTCGGGAGGTTCTTGACCAACTCTTTGAGAACACCTACAGGCTATCCATCTTAGAGCGATTCCTCTTATTGGTGTGCTATGGTAATGTTCTAAGGTGTCTACCCAACTAGCAAAGTAGTGTTATAAGCATTTGGTAAAAGAACCGTTCAGCCATAAAAGCTCTCTATTGTTGTTGCCTGAACACCAAATGTTGTGTAGAATAAGGCAAACATAAAAACAAAAAGTGGCAGTTAAAATTTAGCTGAACAATAAATTGAGATGTTTAAGAATTATAAAAGAGATTGAATACAATAAGAACTATACCAGGCTGAAGAAAATAAACAAATTGAACTCGTAGTAGTTAACACCGTTTCTAGTTTTGGAAAGGCGTTGACGGTTTCGACACAAATGGTCTTCGTTTCTGTTGTTGTAATTATCGGTATCTTGATGAGGTGTATAATTATTGTTATAGTTTTAACACGCTTGAGGTAGAAATAAATGTATGCACAAGGCCAAGTCATTATATTCAATTTGATGAATTCATTTCTACAAGAAATTTGATGTCTTCCTTCTGTAGGAGTATGCATGGTAAATGCCCAACTAGCAAAGTAGTGGTATAAGCTTTTGGTAAAAGAACCGTTCAGCCGTGCAAGCTCTGTATTGTTGTTGCCTGAACACCAAAATGCTGGCTTAATGTTGTGTGGAATGCAAATTTGCTTTCCGCAACATATTTGCTCTAAAGTGAGGTGTTTGTAATATTCTTATAGCATAGTTATAGGTACAACACCTTATAGGGCAAATTTTTAACTGTTGCATAAACGTTTATACAACTATTTCATACGGCATATTTGCACGTTAGTCAAAATGGTTGTGTTGTGGCATCCATGGTAACGTTTATAAAACAAACCCCAGCCTTGTTGTTTTGCTGTGCAATTTACTACTTTAGCCAACAAATTCATCCCAACGGAAGCACTTATACAACTGTTGTTTAGTAACTGTCAAAGGCTGTACATATGCTAAATATGTTGGTATACAACTTCACCATAACCTAACTTTCTGTTAAAATGCCATAAGCAATGTTTTAAGACAAAAAACGCATGCATATTGGTTCAAAAGGTTTTATCAACTGTTCAAACAGAAGATATATATATATATATATATATATATATATATATATGGTACAAATTCTGGGTAAATCATTCGACTCTGTCGGTATTTCATTTCAGACATCTGTCAAATTGTTGTATAACACCTGCAGGCAACACCAAAATATTCTAATAACCTAAAGACAACATGGACGATGCCATGATTATACACAACCACCCGCCATATTGGGCAAACATTTATTCCTCTATTTAATATTAAATAATTATGTTTCAGTCCGAAATTACATATATAAAGTGATAAACATTAGTGTAATTTTGTCTAAGTATAGGATTTGTGGAAGATTTAACGCAGATAAGTTCAGTTTTCCATCTTAAAAATCTAGACATACTTTTGATCATTATCAAAATATGAATCAAATACGAAGCCCGTAGAAATTGCACGATAATCATAATAAAATTTGCTGCGCAAGTAATTCAATAGCCCTTTACCACAGTGTAGAAGTTTATTATATACCTGCGTATAAAATTCACAATGGCCAATATGTAAGTAAACAAGATGACTGTAATGTGTTAGATATATATTATTCCTCGTCTATACAATACATAAGAAATAGTTTGGTTGCAATAAAGTAGAATCACGTAACAGGATAGTTGTATAGTTGACAAAAACTGAATCTTGCACTGACGCAAATGTCCTATAGCGGCTTACACTTTTATTGTATAACTGTTAACTGAAGCCCTTATACAACCTCTTAAATGACTGAAGTGTCCTATTAGGTGTGCCCATTCCGCTTGTATAGCTGTTCTAAGAGGGTTTTGCCAATGTTGTTACAGTATACAATGCTGTTTAAGGAATACTGCATAATCATTCTTGCAACTCTAATAGGAGTGATAATCGTTAGTTGGGTAATCTAATGACGGTGTTCAAACATTTTTTAATTTCATTTTTCATACAGTTGTTGCCATATTTTTCGCCGTGAAGCTGTCCAAGGCTGAGTTACCGGACTTTTTCGACTACATAATGGTTGCCTATGTGGTTGTTCATGCTATCACGCATCTATTACTATCGGTAAGCCTGTTATTTTATAGACGTTTATCATAAGCTACATTCATTTTCAATCTTAGCATATATGATTTGCAGCCCAGTATACTCGGCGTCCATAAGATTCAAATTCCATGTTACAAGAGGATCTGTTTTTCCAGAATGCGTCACTTGTTCAGGGTGGCCAAAATACAGGGTGTTCCTTAATGATATGAATATGTCACTGGCTTTTGACATCTGACAAGTCTGTTCGCTGTGACATCTTTTTCATTATTTAGTTTTTACAATCTTGTTAATAATGGTGAATTATTCAAATGCAGAAATGTCGGAAATGCATTACGTATATGGACTTGCCGACGGTAATGGTGACCAAGCCAGACGGATTTATCACCAGAGATATCCCGATCGTGCTGCAGGTAATTTTCTTACTGTCACTAGCGAGCGCTACCGTGATATGGTGCAAAGCTTTCTGGCTCCTTGAATCCAACGATTTAACCTGCAAAACACGTGGTTCCAGCAGGACGGAGCAACTTGTCACACAGCTAGGGAAACAATAAATCGTTTGCGAATGATATTTCCGGGACGTTTCATTTCTCGATTTGGTGATGTCAACTGGCCACCGGATTTAACGGCTTTTTTATGGGGGATTTTTGAGAAATAGGGCTTATGAAAACAAACCAAATACTGTAGAGAAACTGAAGAACAATACCACGGAAGCGATTGAAAATGTTCCTCTAGAAACCTACCAAAAAGTGATGAAAAACAGAATTTTGTCTGATATTATTTTTCATAGATAATTTCTAAGTGTCAATAAAAGATTAAGATGAAAAAAATGGACGTATTTCATTGCACAAATATTCAAGATACAAACCAGTCAGTTACATATCGGCCACCCTGTATTTGGTACCATGGAACGCTATCCCTGGCTACAAAATTAGCCAAATTTTCATGTAAATCAATAATATCACTGACTATTCTATTTTCCTGGCAGCTGTTAAACTGTATATCGGATAAGTCGTCTGAGAGTAGAGTGTCATCCTTCCCGATGAAAGATATTGGACTTGGAAGAAACTCTGGCTACTTAGACAGGAGCCTGGATGCACCGGTAAGCTTATTTCATGGTGTTCTCAAAGTTACTTACCTTTACAGTGCGTATATAGGTCTGGCAATAATAAGCACTATACAGTGTGAGTCTTCATAAAGTTCACATATCAAAATCAGGGAAACTACACTCTATTTCATCGACGGATAAATCATCAAATAAAACATGAATTTGATTTTTTATGAATATATGAATATTTTAAAATTTTTAGTAGCAGCTTCTAACCATATTGAAATAACTCGTTACAACTTTTAAACTAAATGTCCTATCCTATTGGAGTACATTTTGTAGTGATTGCTGGTAAAAGGACGTGCCTGAAAAGTGAAGAATTCCAGGAAAAGTAATGACATCCATTTAGAATAAAGAAAATTTTGATGAAAATCTGTTTTTTTTTCATCATTTTTACAATAATTTCAAATTTTCTATAAATATCGTCCCTTGTACCCCACCTTTTTTTATTTGTAAGTTATTCTACATGTTATCAGCTTTATAAAAGTAAAAATTTTACGTTTATTACTCAAATGTAACAGTTTCTATGAGTGTTTATAAAAAAGCCCATGTGCATCGTTGCATCCATACCATTATCAAAGGGTGCAGCACTTGCATGAAGATGTGGATTGGCGTCCAAGGTCCGCTATGTCTACATGGATTTTAATAAAAACAAGAGACAATCCTGAATTCCCGAAAACAATTCTGTGGACAGATGAATCTCAATTCACGAGACACGGCGTCGTGAACTGTCGTAATTTACATAAGTGGTGCCCAAAAGATGAAAACCCTAGGCTGAAAAGGGCTTCAACATTTCAAGTGAAATTTTCTGTAAATGTGTGAGCCGCACTGATTGACAACTTTTTGATTGGTCCAATAATACTCCCGAGGACATTAAACGGAGAGAGATTTCTGGAGCTTTTGCGGACTGAACTGCCCTTGCTGTTGGAAAAAGTGCCGCTGCAAACCCGTCGAAGAATGATGCTTCAAATGGATGGATGTCCTGCCCATTACTCGCTGATTGTCAGGTCTTTTCTTAATGAAAATTATCCAGGCCGCTGGATCGGTCGACAAGGACCTGTTGGGTGGCCGGCGCGTTCCCCAGATCTCACACCTCTCGACTATTTTTTATGGGGGACAATGAAAGGGTGTACAGCAGTTCCATAAACAGCGAAGCGGAACTTGAAGAAAGAGTTTTGCGTGTTGCAAACGAAATCAAAAATGATCCCGAGATGATTCGTAGGGCAACTCATCAAATTTCACTTCGCGCTACAATGTGTTTGCAGCAACGGGGTGGCCATTTTGAACATTTGATGCATTAAGCCAAAATGATTATCCTATAGACAAGTCTATTTGATTTTATTTGTTAAAGATAATGAATGATTCATGTAGGTTAATACTGTTGTTTTATTCCTACTCTGGCGTTGAACTGAGTTCAGTGCTTTTTGAAACGCTGATTTAAAAACTTGTATCTAAGTAATAGACTTGCAATTTTTCACCATTAGGAAGCTAATAGCATGTAGAATAACTTAACATTTAAAAAAGGTAGGGTAAATAGGACAATTTTTATTGAAATTTAGCAATTGTTTCAAAAATCATTGAAAAAATAGTGAGTTTCAGCATATTCCTCTTTATTTTAAATTTATAGCATTTAATTTCATGGAAATTTTCACTTTACTGGTACGGCCTATTATTTGCAATCACTACAAAATTTATTCCAATATGATAGTAAAAAATCAATTATTGTTTTTAATTTTTTTTTATAATTTTTCCGTCAATAAAATAAGGTGTAGTTTCCTTGATTTTGCTATGTGCACTTTATGAAGACTCACACTGTATATCAAAGCCTTGAGAGAACCGAGATGTTAAGTTCAGAAAAACTTCTATTACGACCCTGTCTTCATAGTGGTACTATGACTGTATGAGTCACTAGTTATCGATTTGACGTTAGTTTACTGTGTGCGTTTTCAAGATCCTATTGATACTCCGCGAGTTTATTCGAGCATTCAGAATATCGCCGTTGTCCTCGATGTTTTCATCAGAGCTGCGTAGGTCTGTTTATAGCGTGCAAAAGGCGTCTGGAGGGACATAGCCGGGGACCTTAACAGCCTCGATTATTCATGTTTGTGTTGTATTAAACAAATTTAAGAAGAGGTTAGCAACCTTCTTATTTTTTACGTTTTCGGTTCTGTTTAAGTTTGTTATTTCAAGCGTAGCTAGACCAGCTTTCAGGGCACTCACCCTGTATTTATGACGCTTGGAAATGTTTGCAATTTATCATTAATACATTGTGGTTGTTCAATAGGGACGCAGGAAAGTAAACGTCAATTCGACATAGACGCCATCGTTGTTTTCTGTCACCGACATGTCATTTTGTTAGTTGAATGTTTACCATTGATCGCTATGGAGTCGTATTCGATTGAAGACCGCATTAAAGTTATTCAAGAGCACTACAAAAATGGTGCAAAAATAAAAAACACGTTTCGCGCGCTTCGTGAACATTTCGATCGCAACAACCGCCCAAACGAAACAACCATCGGTCGTCTGGTGCGTAAATTCGAGGCAACAGGTTCTGTGGCTAATCTCCCTGGCTCTGGCCGGCCAAGGAGCGTTCGCACATCGGAAAATATTGCTGTTGTGAAGGAGAGTGTAAGAGACGATCCGAAACAATCAACAACGCGTCGATCCCAAGAATTGGGCATTTCGAGAACCAGTTTGCTCCGCATTCTCCACAAGGATTTGAATGTACACGCCTCCAAGATCCAATTGACACAAGAGCTGCGTCGGGGGACCATTTTTCGAGCCGAAGGTTGTCAGATTGGCTCCTTGAACACCGCCAAATTGATGCCAATTTTTCATCAAAAATCATGTTCAGCGACGAAGCGCATTTCACTTTGAATGGGACGGTAAACAAGCCAAACTGCCGCATCTGGGCGAACGAAAATCCCCGTGAGTATCAAGAGCAGCCGATGCATCCTCAAAAAGTGACTGTGTGGTGTGCATTGTGGTCAAAAGGCATCATCGGACCTTACTTTTTCGAAAATGCGGCCGGGGACGCCGTTACCGTCAATTCTGAGCGATATCACGTGGTGATAGAGGACTATTTATTGCCGCAACTTGAAGGAATGGATATGGACGATGTTTATTTCCAACAAGACGGTGCAACATGCCACACAACCAACGTCAATATCCATCGATTGCAGTCCTTCTTCGGTGATCGCGTGATTTCGCGCAGAGGAAATGTGCCATGGCCACCAAGATCGTGCAATTTGACTCCCTTGGACTTCTTTTTATGGGGATATTTGAAAAGCAAAGTCTACGTCAACAAACCAGCCACCCTCCAAGAACTCAAAAACAACATCATTGCCGAGATAAATGCCATAGAACCGACCATGTTGTAAAATGTCATTGAAAATTTCGACCATCGCGTGGACGTCTGTAAATCCAGACGTGGTGAACATTTGAGCGATATTATTTTTCATACATAAATGGTATAAATGAACCTTCAAAATAAAGTACCCAACTTGATTTGAATATCAATCTTTCTTGTTTTAATATGCGTTTACTTTCCTGCGTCCGTTTTGGACAACACCATAGATAGAAGAAGTAACCAGCTCTCGGAAAATGAGTTCATGATATATTTTTTTGGACAAATGTCTTATTATCCTGATCGTGGCTATATAAAATTATAATTTGGGGAACAAATATAACTAGAAAAGGGCCCCAACAACAAAATTCACCATTTAGGCCGATTTCTATCAGAATTTCCACAACCCGGCAATTCCCAGCACTGAGTGTGAAATTTGCTTCACCAACGCAGGTGGTGGCCGTTCAACTGCTACACGAGAGCACCACAAGTCACATTCAGCTCTCGTATTTAAGATCGACGGAAATTACAACCAAAATATGAGTTTTAACCTCACAACGACAATTCTATAACGAAACAATTCCTGTTCCGTGGCCATCCCTGCGTTGACCATACGGCACGGACTCTATTGTCGGACAGAAACATCAACCATATCACGGCAATGACTTTTAAAGAGATGGAGAGTGCGATTCTCGACCACAGAACCATTAGAACAAGAGAAGTGTTTTGCGATAAAAATAAAATTCAATATTTTCAAGAACTGTTATAAAATGATTATTCTAAATAAGGAAAACGTTGTAATAATTCACTTTATCATAATATAAAAAAAAATCTATACATTATTAATTTTTTCCTTCCAGTTTTCTCCACTTCGTAGATTGATACTAGGGGTCTACATAGTGCTTGTTGGGGCTCTACTTCTTGCCCTGATAATCATCACAGCGTTAGCGCCTATAGAAGATACATGGACTAATCTGAGAACATCTATGAAATCCAACAACTGAAAAAAGACGTAAACCAAAGCTGATATGCAATCTGCCTTTTTTGTACATAATTGAGACCATTTTCATACTTATACTTACCATACATTGCTATACATGGAGGTATTTTACCGGTTTGAGATTATAAGCTATACATTTCCTGAGACATTGGACGTATTATGTCTTTGAAATTGTAAAAAACTATACAGGGTGTTTCAGTTTATTGTTGCATAACTTCAAGATTCGATAGAACTTTTAAAATTAATGCATAAAGTCTATATAAACATGGGTCGAAAAATGCGTGGCTTCCGAAATACAGGGTGTTTAAATTTACTTTCTAAAATAGTTTTTTTTAAATATTTCGAACAATATTTGATGTATAATAGTGAACATTGGTATACAAGGGTTTTTTGGTACGACAAAACGAACCATGGGCATAGTTTTACTGTAGCCGCTAGAGGGCGCTCTCTACTGTACCTGTAGTGTATTAAAATGACCGAAAATTTTTTCTTAGTGGAATTTTTTGCTTTTTGAATAAAAAAACTGATTCTTCGCACTTTTCAACATAAAAAAGCTCTCTTGTAAGTTTTCGTTATAGTTAGCCGTTTTTTAATATTTCGATTTTTAAGGTTCGATGCATTTTTAATTATTTATGGGAAAATAATATTTTTTTTTAAATTTTCGATTTGGGCATTACAAGTAATTAAGATGATCGTTTAGATTGTGCTTTTAAACACAGCAATAATTCCTAACTCCAAATAAACACAAAAAACAGAATATTAATTTGTTTAATTTTCCAATATTATTTTTAACAAATGAAATTAATTTTTACAACTAAAATCCTATTGGATAGTTAGGACAAACATACAAAATCTAAAGTAGTTGCTCGAAATGTAAACCCAATTGTTCAATAAACAGTTCACATCTACGAATGATCGAACTTGGTATAGCATTATTCAAATAAGGCCTTATTTCATCACATGCATTCCTGATTCTGTCTATTAGCATATCTCTTGTGGTTACGGGAGTCTGGTACACTTTTTCTTTTAGAAATCCCCACACAAAGAAATCTAATGGATTTAGGTCAGGGGATAGTGGAGGCCAGGCGACTGGTCCTCCACGGCCGATCCATCTTTCTGGATAATTTTCGTCCAGCCAGTTTCTAACTATTCTCGAATAATGAGCTGGACAACCATCAAGCTGGAACCAGGCCAATCTTCTTAATTCTAACATAACATCATCCCACATATTAGCATGTTCAGCCTTTAAAAATTCCAAGAAGGTCGCAGCATTTAACCTTGCAGGCAAAAGGTAGGGTCCAAATAGTCGATTACGGTAGATACCAATCCACACGTTCACACTAAATTCATGCTGAAAATTTATTTTCCGAACTGCATACTTTCAATTTCAAAAATATTTGCAGGCACAGCCTACTTCTAAAAATTATCGAGATACTGACTTTTTAACGTTATTTTATCATAAATAATTAAAAATGCATCGAACCTTAAAAATCGAAATATCTCAAAAACGGCTAACTATAACGAAAATTTACAAGAGAGTTTTTTTATGTTGAAAAGTGCGAAGAATTAGTTTTTGTATTCAAAAAGCAAAAAATCGCACTAAGAAATTTTTTTCGGTCATTTTAATACACTACAGGTACAGTAGGGAGCGCCCTCTAGCGGCTACAGTAAAACTATGCCCATGGTTCGTTTTGTCGTACCAAAAAACCCTTGTATACCGATTTTCTCTGTTATACATCGAATATTGTTCGAAATATTTAAAAAAAACTATTTTAGAAAGTAAATTTAAACACCCTGTATTTCGGAAGCCACGCATTTTTCGACCCATGTTTATACAGACTTTATGCATTAATTTTGAAAGTTCTATCGAATTTTACAATAAACTGAAACACCCCGTATATATTTTATCTGAAATCAGAGGATTCCTTTCAGGTGGGAATCGGAAAACTTTATTTCCAAAATATTCTGTGTTGTGTTCTCGGATGTTACCTTTTAATTTTATTTTCTCGTATTTCCATATTCTAATACTAGCTTTTAATGACTGTAAATAATATTTTGTTAAATGAATACGTGGTGCTAATTTTTACGGTACAAGCTGTACCAACCTTAAATCTTTACGAGGCATACATATTAATTTTATTTTTCTTATTTTTTGGAGAGTGAGTATTATACAAATTCATGACACTGGTAATAACTTTAAGATTTTCTTAGGGCATAGGGCTCATTACGGATGCCCTATTTTTATCACTTTTTGAAGAGGTTATTATATTTTGTAACATGTTTTTTGTATTTATTTAATGTTTATCTGTAGATGTGAGACGTAACTGTACTTAATTGTTGTTCTTAGTTTGTAAATAAACATTAAAATATTTACGATTTTTAATACTCCCCACACCCTTAGTAGCTAGTAGTCCGAATATACTTCAAAATTGAAGGGTCCATATCATTGATTAACGTGTTCTACTTGTTTATAGTCAACCCTAAAAATAGATCTGAACAATACTAGTGCCATCTACCAGACAGAAGCCTAACACCAAGAAGGAATTTAGAAGTCCACTTTAAAAAGAGTTGGAGCGTTTGGTTTTGCTGTTGTCTGAATTAGACGTCTATATTGGAGACAACAAAAATACAAAATCATTTGGTGTCTGCTATCTAAACTGAAATCCGTTTCGTGATCTTGGGTGTGTGCATTATAAATTTGATATCAGTTTTTCGTTGATGACAAATTGCGCTCAGCAAGAATTATTTTTTTATAACCAAACGTCATTTGCTTGCTGCCTTGTTTCTTATGTAGATCGTGTGTATCAATTTAATCTCAAATTTGGCCTTAGGGACGCTGCAGAATTTTTTGATGACCATAATATAAATCAGCACCATAAACTAACCCAGTATACCAAGTTTCGTAGCGGTAGTTGGAATTTTTGTTCTGTAATGACAGTTGAACTTTAAGTATTGATTAAACATTCCTGCATATGTACAACTCAAACTTGAGTTAATCGGTTGCGTAATATCACGAATGTGAGTGTTCCGCTAAGAGTGGTTTCCCTATACCGAATGGCGTTTCTCGGTAGCATGTTTTTATAGTGATATTCGAAATAAGCATCCAAAATTATCGCAATGTAGAGACTCGTTCGTAGACACGTGGGACGAGAAATCGAATTTTTTATTATGAATCGCTTTCTGTTACCGGGTTAACCATTATAAATGCCCCTGATACCAAATTTAGATTCCCGAGGCCACCTCTGGAACAGTATCCCTGATTCTATACTTTCCTACTCTAATCTGCACCAGTGTCCATATACAGGGTATCCGCAAAGTTGGGGTTTTCCTTTACACGACATGTAGATCTTGAAAACATAAGCAATTTCTCTTAGTACCATATATACCAATGTCTTAAGGGAACCGAGATAAAGGGCTCTGCTACATCAAAAATATCTGAATACCGTCCTGTAGCCGCGACCCGCGACATCCCCGAGTGGTACTAGGACACTAGCTCAACCCGACGACAAAACTGGGTCGGGGTCAGTGTGTCAGGTCAGTATGCAACCTTCAACCGACGAACGAACCCGTATAATCGATTGCGTTTCAAAAAAAAAAATAGTAATGGCACACTCATACACCAATAATGAACTCGTTGATATGTTGTTAATTTATGGCGAATGTCTTCAAAATGCTACAGAGGCTTCGCGAGTGTATGCAGATCGTTTCCCTAGACGACATCATCCAAGGCCCCGCAGATTTGTGTACCTGGTCCAGAGGGTCAGGGATACGGGCCATTTGGAGGAATTTCGAGGTGGGCACAGTGGGAGGCCTAGACAACCACGAATGGTGCAAGTTGAGGAAGAACTACTGCAATCGCGTAGACGAGAATCCCTCAACAAGCACTAGAGACGTGGCTAGAGAAGTGCAAGTATCAAAAACTAAAGTGTGGCAAACGCTGCGTGAAGAGGGGCTGTATCCGTTTCACGTCCAACAAGCCCTTCAACCTGACGATTTTCCAGCAAGAGTGCGGTTTTGTGAGTGGTTGTTGCATCAACATGACAATAATCCGGACTTTTTGAAGTGCATATTTTTGACAGACGAATCTACGTTCACGCGTAATGGGGTGAATAACTTTCGCAACACTCATGCTTGGTCAGTAGAAAATCCGCACGCTGTCGGTCGGGCACATTCTCAACAAACATTTTCGGTGAATGTTTGGGCTGGCATGGTGCACGGTATGCTCATTGGACCATTTATTCTCCCAAATCGATTGGACGGGATGCAATACCTAGACTTTTTACGCAACATTTTGCCTTCCTTGTTAGAAGATGTGCCATTAAGTGTAAGAAAATTAATGTGGTTTCTGCACGATGGTGCACCGCCCCATTTTAGACGCGAAGTGCGTGAGTTTTTGAATGAATTATTCCCGAATAGCTGGATCGGACGTAATGGACCCGTAACGTGGCTTCCGCGATCTCCAGACTTAGCACCATGTGATTTTTTTCTTTGGGGAGAAATGGAACGCTTAGTGTACAAAACTGAAGTGCATACGGTTGACGAACTTCGTCTCAGAATTGAACAAGCTGGGGGAGGGACACCATTCTCAAAGCCTGCACCGATGCTTGGCTACGTCGTGCATGCACCTGTGTTTTTGAATCAAACGGCGATAACTTCGAACAATACCTATAAAGTACGTTTACCTAAAAACTGAAAACGCGGCAACGCCGTCTTATTTGTTACCTCTGTTCGTGGTCTGCACCACCGCCGGCGTCTGCTCGGTAGCGCATCAGCTGATTTCATTTTCTGTTGGAGCGGTATGATTTCGGGCAGAGACGTACTTAGCCCTTCTCGTCAACCGGAGAGTGAGTACTTTTTCCTTTATTTTTTTTTACTTGGTCGCCCTCGTTTCACTACACATTACCTTTGTTATTTCAAGGGTAGTTGTTTCTGAAAAGGAAAACCCCAACTTTGCGGACACCCTGTATAGTAGTGAATCTGTATCCGAATAGATGACTCTGTGGGGTGCAATCCATTTCTCTCCCAAATTTATATCAATGCCCCCGATCTGTACGACCCTTGCTATTGCACTAAGACCTTATACCGATAGATGACTGCACTGTCTACATGTCTACATCGACCCACCTACTGCAAGCTCTACCGATTCCACCGTCCGACAGTCTGCAATAGGTGACGCTTCATACATACCGCATACACCATCCTTCTGGGCTCTTCTCGATCTTCAAAAAAAAAACAATGAAATGTCATCTTGCAGACTAGGTACTTCATTACACGTTTGATATGACCGCTGTGAGCGTCCATCTATGGAGGAATTACTCAACTACACGCATTGTTGGTTGCATATGTTTTGTGAAGCCGAGTAGTTTGTAGTTTTCATCTCTGAGAGAATTATTACTGAATATGCTGTCAAAATGCAGTATGTATATCTTTTAGCTGTCCTTTCTGAGGACAGGTTATGTTCAAAGTCATAAATTTCGGTTTTTCCCGTTTTTTTGTGTTTCCAAAACTTTGAGGAGCACTACGAGAAATCACCACCGCGCCCACGTTGTGCGCAATTAAACAACGACACAGAAAAATTAGTAATGACGCATCACACATCGATCATTTTCTCAATGTCTCACCTCTAGGCACTGATTTGTATTTTCTGTTGACATCGCAAAATAAATTTCTATAAAATCTAAATGACTGGAAGTAGAAAATAATGTAATAACCTTTTTACTTTCGTAAATATTCCTGACGGTAGCGCATATTTTCTCACCCGTTCCTTCACCAATCAGTATTTTCTTTTCTTATCTCTCTCATTTTTGAAATTCCGCAAATTTGCATATGTAATTTCCAGAATGGATAAGAAAAAGTGGATGCGCAACTAGTTTCTAGGTTTGAATGCCAAGTAAGTGTATTTGAGACAAGAATCCAATGGAATTATCATCATCACATATTTTAGCACACAAATCCTCACTATGCACCTTTACATTGCCGCTATAGTATACATATACAACAGCTTACAGCTTAGATCTCTAGTAATGCCATCTCTGAAGCAGATTTTACATCACATCGATAACGGAAGCCTTATGACGTTTAGGCAACACGTACAACTACAACACACACACGTAGTGTCCAACAGCTAGAGCTAAGGTAACATCTTGTAGAAAAACCTACATAATGTCACAAAAAACCAATACAATGTCAAAAAAGATCGACATAATGACACTTTTCAAGATACGTAATGCCCTTGCCGGCAGTTGCGCGCTGTCTCTCCACCAGATCCCCGTTTCAGCCCACATCTAAGCACATCTCTCTCCCACTAGATGGCTCTGCGTACTCCAGACCCACCGTCCTCGAAAGCCGTATCGATCCTCCTGGCATATCGACCAGTGGCGTGCTGTCTCTTCGTCGTTTAACCCATATCTTAACAGATCACATATATCCCATTAGATGGCGCTG